GGTAACTACTAATCTACTTTCGGTCTCTCTTGTAACAACTTAGCTAATTACTTCCTGATTAGAGAAGTAGCAGTTTCCTGTTTTAGATCCTTGAATGGCTGGGATCCTTGAATCCCAGAAAGAAGAGTTGACTGGAATGGAGGCCAGCTTTCTCCTTGCTCAGGTGGCCCCCGTGTCCCCAGGCCTGTGCCTTTCCACGCTCCTCTGCACTGTTCCTCTTCTTCTTCAAATATGTTTTTATTGATTTTTAGAGAGAAAGGAGAAAGGAGGGGTAGAGAGGCAGAAACATCGATGAGAGAGAAACATCATCTATCGGCCACAGGGGATCGAGCCCGCAAGCCGGGCCTGTGCCCCGACTGGGAATCAAACCGGCGGCCTCTAGGTTCCTGGGTCGACGCTCGACCACTGAGCCACGCCGGCCGGGCCACACCGTTCCCCTTCTTGCCTGGACACCCTCCCCCCCATCTTGTAAGACAGAACTCTCCCTCTCTCTCCAGTCTTCTCACGTCACCCCGATCAGCATAGATTTCCCTGGTGTCCAGACTACAAGTCATTTCTCTTCTCGGAAAGTCCGCGGGGTCTTATTTATGGCTCTGGGAGAGTGCGGGACGGTGTGCTTGCTGCGCTACGTGCTTTACCTCCCCCAGTGAGCCAAGGGTCCCGGAAGCCAGGGGTCCGTCTAATCCATCTTTGTCTCCTAACCGGCCCCCCCCCACCCCCGTGGGTCTGCAGCTTCATCTCCTGCCAGTGCCGAGGGCTGCCTGCCTCCCACGCACCATTCGTCACCGGGTTGATGGCCCTTTAATAGCGTGTCCCCGCGGGCGGTGGCCCTGTGCCCGGGATCTGGGTGATAGCAAGCCGCGGGCGTGTTCGGGCACCCGTAGCTTTTCCCTCTTCTCTGGGGCAGTGCTGCACTCTGGATACCAACGCTGAGCTGAGCTCCTCGCTCCCCGGGGCCTGCCATTCGCCATGGAAACCGCGTGTGCTTGTCAGGCGGTTCCGGCGCGGCCTCCTCCTGGTCCGAGTCCCTTCCAGTCGCCCACCAGCCCGCGCCTCACACTCAGCTTTTCGTGTTGAAACATTTCGCTCCCAGGCTGATCCCGGTGGTCAGGGCTGGTGACGCTGCCCCGGGAGCAGGGCCGGGTGATGACAAATGCTGATGTCGGAGCAGGACACACGGTACCCAGCACCGGCGTTTCTGGGAGAGTCATGACCGGGTGGGTTCCTTACCTGGCGGGATTGGTGGGTACCCCAGGCGTCCGTACACCCCCTGCCAGTAGCTTTCCGATAGATTTCTCTCTCCTTTTGGCTTTGAATGCACTGAACAGTGTATAGAAATCAGATCCCATGTTGCCCTAAACCATGCCTGTGTTTTATATTCCCATTCCTGTTCCAGGTAATTACGAAAAATATAAAGGTTTTCTCCGCTCGATTGTAAGAATGAATGTGGGAGGTTCCACAGTTCTCAGTCTTGTCTTCCCCTTTCACAGCCTGTAACGGGGTGCGGGAACCCCGGTGACACATGTCCCCCATTCTCCTCCCCCCCGACCCGGTGGTGCCCACAGGCAGCGAGTTGACTGACAGGGTGGTGAGCCCGGGGTGGCTTACATTCTCCTCCAGGTAGGACTCCTGCAGGCTCTGAACCCCGAGTCTGTGCCGGAAGGCCCTCCCAACGAGGCTGTGTCCCTCACTTCATGCGAATCGGGGGGGGCTTTTCCCGCCTCCCAGGAGGCAGAGCCCTCATTCTGTTTTTCCTGTCGGGCCCCCCGTTGGGGGCTGAGCTGGGAGGTGGGGGCTCAGGGGTGAGAACTGAGCCCGGGGCAGCCAGGCCTCGGCGGCGTGGGCTCCTTCCCCCGTGCCTGTCGGTGGCTCTCACGCTGCTGGTTGGAAAGGTTTTTCTTCCTGGCAATGGTTATCTTTTCACCAACGTGATCGCTTAATAGCAGAAAGTTACTGCTGTGGAGACGAATGGAGACCGCCATGCGGCACCCATCACCTGGGAGAGCGGACGAGGGTCGTCCTCGCTGCTCGGGCTGCGGTGAAGGTCACCGGGCCTCGCCCTCGCTGTGCCGCTGGGGACTGAGAGCACCCTCTCTGGTCTTGTCTTTCAGATTCAGAACATGAACAACATCATCTCCTTCCCTCTGGACAGCTTGCTGAAGGGGGACCTGAAAGGCGTGAAGGGGGTACGGCGACGGCTCCGGGTGGGCGAGGGTCGTCCTCGCTGCTCGGGCTGCGGTGAAGGTCACCGGGCCTCGCCCTCGCTGTGCCGCTGGGGACTGAGAGCACCCTCTCTGGTCTTGTCTTTCAGATTCAGAACATGAACAACATCATCTCCTTCCCTCTGGACAGCTTGCTGAAGGGGGACCTGAAAGGCGTGAAGGGGGTACGGCGACGGCTCCGGGTGGGGCGTTTGCAGGGCCACAGCCGTGGGCCGGGGGGCGGCTGCCGGGGCCCCTGGGCTTGCGCCCTGACTGGTGACTCGGGCCTCTCTGGGTGACCCGAGGGTGCCCTGGGCATGGGGGGGTGTGGGGGGGGTCTGCAGGGAAGAACACTGAGAAGCCGGGGGTGATTTAGGCTCACGTCTGGGTCTCCAGCCGCCGTGTCCCAGGCTGACCCCGGGAACAGGCTCCCCGCAGGGACGAGTCTCCTGATGGGGAATCTGACCGGCGGGGCTCGAGCCGCTGCCTTTTCTGTCCGTAGCTTAGGAAGGGCCACGCACAGGCGCGTGAGCGTGACTCGTTTCACAGGTGGAAGAGGAGGGGCCGGGCTCAGGGGCGTGGGTCCCCGCTGCTGAGCACTCGGTCGCTTTTGCACGAACATGTGTCTGAGTCCTGGGAGGCTGCGTGCTCCCAGGATCTGCACGGGGCACATCGGGAAGCCCAGCGGCTGGTCTCGGGACCCCGCAGACTGTGCCAGGAGAGCCGTGGGCAGGGAGGAGGGGCTGCCCAGCCGGTCGGGCACCAGGAGCTGCCCATTGTCCTCTTGGGGCCGGAGCAGGGGGCCGAGTGGGCGGCAGGACGGGCAGGAAGGGTGCCGGGGCGGAGGGAGGACGCAGCGAGACGGGCAGGAGGCTTTCGTGTCGCGTGAGCCGGGTGTCCCCAGAGTCGGGTGGGGCTGGGGGGCGGGCAGGGCCCTGCAGGCTGGGAGCTGAGTCCTGTCGGAGGCCAGTGAAGAGCCAGGATGTAAAAAACAAGCCCCACCCGTGGCAAGCGTTCCTCTCCCGAAAGGACCTGCTGGACAGAACGTGACTGGGGGGCGGGGGGCTGCCTGGTGGAGTCTCCGGAGCTCGGTACCTCCGAGCCAGACCTGCTGAGTGCGGCCCCAGTTCCAGGCAGAAGCGTTGGGGGATGGGGGGGTAGTTCTCTACCGTGGGCCCCCGAGCAGCCCTGTTTAATTTATGCCTCTCCGTTTACAGGATCTGAAAAAGCCTTTTGATAAAGCCTGGAAGGACTATGAAACCAAAATGTGAGTGTTTCCATTTAAAAACACACCACAATGTGGGTAATTTGCGATTTCAATTTTAAACCCAGCTTTTCTAGCTTAAAGGCATTGTCTAACTAACTCTGATACAGGGCAGAGTTCACCTAAAACTGTGTCGCTAGGTGCCTTCACGCCTGGTGTCCAAATGCCGTGATGTTGGCCTCTTTACGCAAGTTTCTTCCTGGTCCCTTTTGTTTCATGTCAAAGGGGTTACAGAGCGTCATTTCCAGGGAGGCTCATCGAAGGAAGTCGAGCCACCTTCCCCGAGGTGTCTCCTTCCTCCCCCCTTCTCCCCGCCCTCCCCCTCTCCCCCCGTGTTATCACTGTTGGTCACGGCAGCACATTTTTCGTACTCTGTCTTCCTGGTGATTTGTGGATCCCCTTAGCGCAGGTCACGTTTCTCAGCCTCACCAGGCCCCTTGGTTTCAGAAAAGAAGAGAAGAGAGGTTGTGGGGACAAACACACACACACACACACACACACACACACACCCATCAGCCTCACCTGGCTGCCTTCTCTCCCTCCTCTGAGAGAGAAGTGCTTAGGGAGGATTTGTGGAGTAAATACTCAATCAAAAGGCCAAGGTTGGCCTGTCTATGGCCACAGGCATTTCCTTTGCAGTGAGTTAGGGGGTGGCCCCGTTTGCAAAAGGCCCCGTGAGCGTGTGCTGTCCCTGCCCGGCCGTCCAGTCTGGGCCGCGGGCCGAGAGCGTCCGATTCATCCCTGCTCTCCTGCCCGCAGCACCAAAATCGAGAAGGAGAAGAAGGAGCACGCCAAGCTGCACGGGATGATCCGCACGGAGATCAGCGGCGCCGAGATCGCCGAGGAGATGGAGAAGGAGCGGCGGTTCTTCCAGCTGCAGATGTGCGAGGTGAGGGCGGGCGGCGCTGGGCAGCCCGCGGGCGGCTGGAGCCTGACCCCCACCTGCGGCCTCAGAGAACCCCGCTGCCCTGTGGGACCCCCTTCGGTTCAGTCTCTCCCCCGCCTCGTTCTTCCTGAAGCCAGAGCAGCTGTTTCTCCTCCTCGCGGGTGAGATACGGGCTGATGACTCGGAGCCCTTGGCACTAAGTGAGACACTGAGTCACCTGTGCGTCAGGGCGCTCCCGTGGCAGCAAAGGGAAAGGGACACGGAGTGTGGCCTCGGGGACCGTGATGCCGACCATGAGCTCCCGCCACGCGGAGGAGAACGGACGTGTGGTCTGTCCCCGGCTCATGCTGAGCACGCGTTCGCCTCTGCCTCTGACACCCCTTTGTGATGTGTTGTTTCCACAGTACCTGCTGAAGGTCAATGAAATCAAGATCAAGAAGGGAGTGGATTTACTTCAGAATCTGATCAAGTATTTTCATGCCCAGTGCAAGTAAGTTCTTGGTCCTTGTGGTGTTACGCAGACATGTCTCTCTCTACGGCAAATTCCGGTCGATCAATAGCAGCGGATTCAGCCTTTCTCATCTCTCGGCACACAGGAGATGGAAATTCTGCGGCACACCCAGAAACACAGCATATATTTTGCCCATCTGTCAAAAAAAAAAAGTATAATTTTGGTTCATTCACGCCGGACGGCGGTGGTTGTCACTGTTGATGCCACAGTGTCAGAGAATCGAGGTCCGTGTCCCTGACTACACAGTCGGGTGATGCATGTTGTAAAATCCTTGCTGCTCACACCAGTGCGCCTGCCACAGCTCACCGGTTGGAAATCGCTGATCTGTAGTATCGTGCTGAAGGAAATCAGCACTCATTTAATCGTCTGTAGTGGAGGGATGGGCGCATGCATGAACCCGAAAACATGTTAAGGGAAAGAAGCCAGACCAGAGGCCCTGTGGGGGGAGGGGAGTTGGGGGAGGGGAACGCGGGGATGGCTGCTCACGGAACAGGGTTTTTGGGGGGGATCCAAGTGTTCTGGAATCAGTGCTGATGACTGCACAGCTTTGTGGAAATACTAAACACCACTGGCTTGTCCACTGGAAAGGGTGCCTTTTACGGTCTGAGAATGAGATCTCAATAAGAACACAAACGTAAGAATAGATTTTATCCATAGGCTTGCTTTGCCCTTTCTGTAGAGGGCCGTGGAGTCTGACCCCGCACGGGACCTCCGGTGGTGCTGGTTAGAGGAGGAAGGCGGGGGGCTGATTCAGCGCGTCAGGTTAAGACATGCTTCCAGGTGTGAGGTATCCTGCAGAGCAAAGACAGAGCACAGCAGGCCGCCTGCAGGGGAGGAGGGGAACCGCCCGCATTCAGGGCGGCTCTGTACTCACCTCGGCCGCACGCGCCGCCAGCCTGGCTGTCTTCCCGGCTCCTGGTCCTGCTGGTTCGCTCTGACCCCCGGCCGCTAATGCACACACTTTCGTGGAGTGTGTGTCCAGCACGGTCCTTGATGCCGGCGATAAAGTGATGCCCACCCGAGCAGGGGCATTGGGCTCCCGCAAACAGACATGTCATTGGACATGTAGCACGTGTTCTAATGTGTAGGAATGTAAGTAAGAAAGCAACAGAAGGATCCCCTTGAGATGGACATGGAGGGCAGGGGCAGGGGTGTTTCTCTCTTCTCTCTTGTTCCTTGCTGTGTGCCAGCAGCCGGAATGCAACGCCTGGCACATAGTAGGCCAGGCACATAGTAGGTATTCACGTACTTGCTAAGTGAGCTGCAGGCCTCTCTGGGGAGGCGTGTGTTCTGAGCTCCACGGATGGGGAGCAGGGGAAGAACGTGCCGGGCCAAGTGGAGGTCTTGACGCAGGAGAACGGCCAGCGTGGCTCACCCCTGAGTGAGCAGCCTGAAGGGTACCCGGGCACAGAGCATTAGGGACCGGATGTCCCTCCCAGTCCTGCAGAGGGGCTTGGGTTTCATCGCAGGTGTGTGGGGGGAGCTCTTGGAAAGTCTAAAGCAGAAAACCCACTCAGCAAGTGCCGACTGAGCGCTGCTGGCGCTGACGGGGGAGGTGCAGACCCACTGGAGACACTGAGGTGCATGGCCACGCCTGGATGCTTGCCTTGTCCCGGCGGCTGCCCCCACGATGCACCTCTGCCCACACTGCCCCATCCCCTTTCCCCAGAATTCCGTCTGTCTCCTCTGCGCCTTCCCCAGCCTCCGTCCCTCCCCACGGCCTCCCTCAGATGTAACTGCTACTTGGAAGTCCTTCTGCCCGGGCCTTGATGCAATGACTTCTCTTCCTGTATCTCCATGGCAACATCTTTCCTGTTGTGCGAGGCCTCCCCCTGACCTGTACACTCTTTAAAAAAAATGTTTTTATTGATTTTGCAGAGAGAACAAGGGAAAGGGAGAGAGAGAGAGAAATACTGATGTGAGAAACACTGATCAGCTGCTTCCCGCACCCCAACCGGGGATCGCGCCTGCAACCTGGGCGTGTGCCCTGACCGGGAATCGAACTGGTGACCTTTCGGTGCACAGGACCGTGTTCCAACCACCTGAGCCACACTGGCCCGGGCTGACTGTCCGCTCCTAAGGAAATGGGCCGTGGCGTTGACTTTCTCAGTCTGTAGCACGTGACGCGTTTACCTGGCGGATGGTTGCCACGGTGACCCCTGTGGAACGGAGCTGAGCTCTGCTTGGAATTCCCGGTGCTTGTTTCAGGCGGCCGAGGCCACTCTGCAAGGGGGAGGGGCGAGCACCGAGCTTGGGGAGACGCCTCCGAGGTGGCGCTGACGCGCTCACTGGCGTGTAGAGCCCCCCAGACGGGCTGTTTCACAGACGCAGAGCCCCACCTGGTGATTGACACGCAGATGGCTTTCTCAGTCCGCATCCTCGTGACCTCACTTGAGGCGGTTTAGGAAGTGGGTCGCTTCCTTGCTGATACTTTATTTTTAAGAAGCAGCTATTTTTGGATTTCCTTTTTTTTTTCTCCTTTATTTTGCCCAAACTGATGAGTTGGGTAGCAACTGGCCACTTGTGGAAAGTGAACTAGTTGGCCTTTTATGGGCATGAGCTCAGCAACCTTTAAAAATGATGCATCGTCCATCGCTTCCTTCCTGGATTACTGTTTGCGCGTGTGTGTGCATGTGTGTGTGCACGTGCATGTGTAACACTCTGTGCTCTTCAAATTATCCCAAGGCCTTTGACTGTTTTAATGCACAATTTGGAGCCCGATGACTCGGCCGATGGACAGAGGAGGCTGTGGCCACGCCGAGTTTATCCATCCGGGGTTCCTGCGAGTCCCCCCACTTCACGTTCCCTCCGGTCTGCACTTGTCCCGGGAGCAGGCTGTGCGTGGCCAGCGCAGTGCCGGGGCGGCGGTAGGGCTGCCTTTCTCGGGCTGCGGGCCCTGCAGGTGTGAGGTGGCGCCTGTATCCGGGTTCCGGGAGCCGTGGGGGCTCCCCTGTGGGACTCCTTGGCTGGGCATGTTTTGCTTTTTGCTGTAGACATTTGAGAAGAACCGTCATCGTGTTCTTTGTCTTTTATTTCATTTAAGGAGAGAACTGGCCTCTCTCTCCGCCCAGTTCCTGGAGCCTGCTGTCCAGTGGGGTCTAGAAACGGGGCGTCTTTAAAACAGCAGCAGTGACACAGACAAGAGGGGTCCCCGATCCAGAAGGTGGGAAGAGTGTTGAGTGACATGTTCTCTGGCCAATCCCTGCGGAGACCGCTGTGCCTGCGGCTGCTTGGTGAACCCGGGCACAGAGATGGAGAGGCCCTGTGCCCAGAGATGCTTGCACTGGTGGTGGGGGCGTGGGCCAGCACCCAGCCCCCGGGCCTGGGGTCTGGTTCCTGTGCTGTAGTGAGGGCCACCCCGTTTTCTTCATTCCTCTCCACGGTTACACGCACACACTGAGCGGGAGCGAGCGGTAGGGCATCGGCCACTGCTGCGGCAGAAGCCTGTCTCGCTCCCGCTGGTTTCTGGACTCTTCCGCTCCCGAACCGAAGCCTTCGCCGCCTTTATCAGCGAGTCCCGTTTCCCGTTATAAACTGAACAGGTGGGGCTCGTGTTCGTGGGTCACGAAAAGTCACAAATATTTTGCCTGATTGCAGCTCCCTTCCGTCCCCTCCTCATCGTTTTGAGCATCTTTTTATTCTGGACACACATCCAGGTTCCCCCTGGGAATGACATAATGATGTTAGCCTCTTTCCTTAAAGAAGTGTTCTCTCCGGCGGACAGGATTGTTTTGCATGGGACACGAGCTCTATTTCTTCTTTTCCCCCCAGTTTTTTCCAGGATGGACTGAAGGCCGTGGAAAACCTCAAGCCCTCCATCGAAACGCTTTCAACAGATCTCCACACAGTAGGTGCCTCCCCTGCCACGTCAGCGTCGACACAGTTTTCATGCAGCAAACGCTGTCTTGCCAATGTTGCTTCTGTCTGACCTTGAGTTTGCCGCTGGGCTGGGCAGAAACTCACAGCCCGGCAGTGCCCCTCGGAGCACGGAGTCCCACGCTCGGCCGCTGGGGGAGGTTTTGGGAGTGAGGGGGCAGGTGGCCCGGTGAGGTGGGGGTGCCCTGTGCACGCCAGCCTCTCGCTGCACCTCTGTCATGCCTCTCTCCCCCTCTCTGTTTTGTTTCTAAAGATCAAACAGGCCCAGGATGAGGAACGAAGGCAGCTGGTGCAGCTCCGGGATATTCTGAAATCGGCGTTGCAGGTGGAGCAGAAGGAGGTGAGGGCTTTACTTTTGAAGGACGGCTGTTTGATGCTGTGCCTCCCAGGTGCTCACAGACCCAGCCAAACGCTCAGTGGGTTCTCGGAGTGTGGGACCCGCCCCGTTGGTGGGTGTGTGTGTCTCCCGGGGGCCCGGCCCCGGTGGCAGCGTGCAGAGCTCCTGCTCAGCCGGTGTGAGACGGGTAGCTCTTAGCGTCTCCCCAGACGCACGCTCCTCAGTGTGTCCTGACTTTCCTGCACTCTGGTCCCCCTGCTCACACTGTAGTGTGAGACTTAACGTAACTGTACCTCCTTGTGATGAAGGAATGTGTCTGAGTGTGTCACCTGTAGACTTTAGATAACTAACTTGTTAAACTCCTTAGTGCAGCGGTCGCCAACCTGTCGGACCTCGCGGACCACCGCTTGGCGACCGCTGCCTCCGTAGACATTGGGTTCACTGTTGGTGGTTGGAAGTTCCTGTGCTATAACTGAATATTGTTGTTTTTCTCCCAAATGCATTTACCTTTTGTGACCGAAGTCTAGGAGAGTAAGTAGTTCAGTATTTTAATAAATTGGAGAATTTTGCATGCTTTCTTCATGAACTTAAAAAACAAAACAAAACCGGTTTCTTCCATGTATAGATTAACGAGTAGAGCATCTTTCATTTAATCCAGCTGTTCTCAACCTGTGGGTCGCGACCCCTTTGGCGGTCGAACGACCCTTTCTTTCACAGGGGTCGCCTGAGACCATCCTGCATATCAGATATTTACATGACGATTCATAACAGTAGCAACATGACAGTTATGAAGGAGCAACGAAAATAATGTTATGGTTGGGTCACAACATGAGGAACTGTATTTAAAGGGCCAGAAGGTTGAGAACCACTGATTTAATCCCTTTTCTCCCAATAGCGGGGTTACGAAAGGCTGAAGAATTTAAATGCACAAATGTCAGTGGAGTGGAAATCTCCCGAGTGTACAGTTTGCCCATTCGCTGTCATTCCTTGTGGAAATGAAACAGCTCCCTCCACCCATGCCCACTCCCTCAGGAGGCAGCGGTAGATGATTCTCACCATTGACGTTTCTATCTCCCTCTCCCTTCCTCTCTGAAATCAATATTTCTTTCTTTCTTTCTTTCTCTCTCTCTTTCTTTCTTTCTTTCTTTCTCTCTTTCTTTCTTTCATTCATTCATTCATTCATTCATTCATTCATGTTTTAAAGCTCACTTCCACCAGGCCAGCATGGCTCAGGGGTTGAGCGTCAACCTATGAACCAGGAGGTCACAGTTTGATTCCTGGTCAGGGCACATGCCCAGGTTGCGGGCTCGATGCCCAGTAGGGGGCATACAGGAGGCAGCCGATCAGTGATTCTCTCTTATCATTGGTGTTTCTCTCTCTCTCTCTCTCTCTCTCTCTCTCTCTCCCTTCCACTCTGAGATCAATAAGAAATATATAAATAAGTAGAAATTTTAAAAGCTCGCTTCCTCCATTCCCTATGCATTTCCCTGTTGGCCCTTCACTGGTTGAGTCCGTGCTTCCTCAGTTCAGATCTCGCTGATTGTCGTGTGTTGTTAATTCTTCCTTCGTCTGGGCCGTGCCTGGCACCAGGGACAGGCGTGGGCTTGGTGGGGAGAGGAGACCAGCCCCGTGAGGACACGTGGTGTCCGGGAAGGAGCATCCGCGTGGGAGGCGGGGTCCCGGCCCCGACAGGCCCTGCGCCTCGAGCAGACCACCTGTGTCTTCCATCGTGAAGTGAGCTGGTGGGGGTTCCCAGCAGCCGGTGGAGGCAGCCCCCCGCCCTCCTGGTTGACCTGTGAACTCAGGTCCACGTTTCGCTCCCCCTTTGCCCTCACCCCTGCCAGAAGCTCGGCCCCCGCCCCACAGCCCTTCCGCCCCGGCCGGGGCTCTGCCTGGTCTGCTGGGCACAGTCCTTGCCCTTCAGAAGCCGCTTCCCAGCTGTCCACGCGGCCGGCCCACCTGAGCAGGGCAGGGCGGTTCAGGGCCCGGCCCCGGGGGAGGGGTCAGGGAGTGAAGGTCACTCAGAGCCTGTCCTGTACCAGGCGTCCACGTGCGTGACCTTGCTGTGACCTTCCGCCCGGGGTGGTGCTTGCCTGTTTCCAAGGAGGAAACTGAGCAGGGCCTCGGATCTGCCGACAGGAAGGGGCGGAACATGGCTGTTGGGTGTGTTCGGTGCTGGTTTTGCTTGAAGGGGCTGCGTCCACCTCTCAGGACCTTCTGGCCGTGATCAAACCTGTAGCTTCCCAGTGGCTCACGGTGGCCGGTCGGGGCTGCTGGTCTTTGCCGTTCCCTCTCCAGCTGGGTGGGTGGCATTCACGGGCTCCTGGGTAGGAATTGTTCTTGTGTGTGTGTGTGTGTGTCTATGTGTGTGTCTGCATGTGTGTGTGTGTCTATGTGTGTGTCTGTGTGTGTGCTGTGTGTGTGTATCTGTGTGTATTTGTGTGTATGTGTCTGTGTGTGCATGTGTGTGTGTATGTCTGTGTTCGCATGTGTGTGTCTGTGTGTGCGCATGTGTCTGTGTGTGTGTGTGTGGTGAGAAGGGAAATGTCTCTAAGAAGAAAAGCTTTAAGGGCAGAAGCTGCCCTTTCGATGAGGATAAAGGGACTTCCGGCCACTTTAGGACTCGCAGCTGCGCCAGAGCACAGCCTACAGCCTCCACCAGCCGCAGGGCAACAAGGAGCACGGCACCGAGCGCAGCGGCAGCCTCTACAAGAAGAGCGACGGGTAAGGGGG